CTTTATGCTCTAAAGCGGCTTTAAAAAATTAGAGAAAAACTAAAATATAATAAAATAAGAAATTTGAATTCGTTGCCTTGATTTTGATAACCGTTTAATAGACGATGGACCGAAAGGCGAATTGAAATGATAGTTTCGCACAAGTCGACACGAACTCAAGGTATGATAAGCAAAGAGTAATTGTTGGAAGCCTTCTTCAAGTTTACTGTTCTCATCGCTGTCGTTCATATTAGCTGATGTCACCTACAAGAGCTTCTTTCATTTCAATTCAAGGGATTCAAGAGATCCTACCTATACCTCTAACATGGCGATGGTTAGAAAGAAAAAGGGAGAGAGAGAGAGAGACGTAGGTAGTGGCCTCAGGTTGCAAAGTATCTGCCCGATCGATAACTGTTATGCCTGCGCCGGTCAAGAACTCACATTAGGTAAGACCACACACTAAACGCAACAAAAGTATGATCTCCCCTGCCGCTGACTCAGTTGATGAATTAACACCATTCTGATGAGAATGAAAACGGTTGAGCTATAACAAATAATACAGACGCTCGAGTGAGTGGTGAATTGACCTCTCACTAAAGTCTAAAAATCGCAAACTGATAACGGAGTGTATGCGAAATTTCAACTTATGGCTTTAGTCATATGGTCGAGTTGCTATGCGAATTCCATCTACTCGATGTTGCGTTTCTTAACTGCTCCACTGCACGAGTAGACCAGTATCGACTTTGAAGCAGCTTTTGCTCCATATTTCTCTTCATCTCAATGATTGGCATTTTCTATTTTTTTCTTCCCTTTTAACTATATTTTAATATAGAACAAATTGTTGATATGTTTTTGCAAACTTTTGTTGTTTTTTTTTTTTTAAAATTGTCATAAAGCAATAATATATGCGATTAGTGGCTATAAGCATATAATTTCTGCAAACCAACGCGGGATGAAAAAATTTGATAGATGCTTAAAGGAAGAACAAAAGGGAAAAAACATTTAAATTCGAAAGTTTTGCAGAGTGACTAGATAAGTATCGTAAAAGCAAGGAAAATTCAGTTTAAAATTTATTTAATGTAAAGCAAAACTGAAACGTGACTTAGTTTGAAATCATAAGATCAACATGAATCGCTGGTAATAACATTTGCACTTCTTCATTGTTAAGGTTTTACCGTTAGCCCGAAAGCAATTAACAGATTCAGTTAGGCACGTAGAGCTGTTGACGAAAGCCTACAAAAAGGAATTTCATCAAAACTCAAACTAAACCAATTAAAGCGCGCCAAGAAGTACACGACAATGAAAGAACTGAGCACTGCATATAACTTTCTAAAGCGATAAAGAGATATTCAAGTATGAACATAGTTATGATATAGATTTGTGCACAGGTGGTACACAGCGGATAACTGAATAAGGAGATATGACGTTACTTAAGGGCCCCTTTAAGTTTCAAAAATTTTCTAAAATTTATTTCATTAAAAATTTGGTATTTGTCGCGCAAACAAACTGCATATACTTTATATGTAAATAAGAAATAGAAACATCGCTTAGTACCCTACACCAGCCAATAGTTACTCATATAAGGCTTTACATGGCCAGTGGGGATATATTGTATTTCGATCCAAATCATTTTCAACAGCGCTTGTCCATGGACCAAAACGGACAGCTTGTAGACAGACAGACAGACAGACGGACAAACAAGCTTAGATCAATTCAAAAACTTGTACTGAATAAAAAAAGTTAGGTCTGTCTTAAATCCTTCTCGGTGTTGCATACATCCGCACAGACTTAATAAGCTCTTCCACCTCGAGTGGTATGCGATACAAAAACATAATTAAAAAATACATTTTTTTTAACATTCGAGCCCTTCAAATATGTATTAAAAACAAAAACTATTTTCTAAGGACACTCCATGAAAAAAAAACCTCAGTTTGTTTGAGAAATGCATTAAAAACAAAAAAATAAAAATTTTAATTTTAGACAACAGCATAAAAACTGTTGTTTCACACAAACGAATTATGTAATTGAAAAATATTTTTACACAACATGAAAAATGTACTCGAAGAAATTGTGTATACAAACTTTAAATTTCCAAGGAAAAAAAAAAATGAATGGAAAATTTATTCGTAAAAAGAAACCTCTGAGGAGAGTAAGCAAAAAAAAGGTTATATATTTTGAAAATATATTTTAATGACATTTAAGAAGAACACAAGCAGCAAAAGCTGTTTTCAAAAAAAAATCAAATGCGGTGCTCGTTTTAAAGTAACGATAAAATGTATGCATTGCTTTAGAAAGTTTAAACAAAGGCCCAAATTGCGTTAACCGCATAAGTTGAAATCAGACCCACTTTGTCGGTTACATCGCAACGCGAAAGTTCTGGTTATGGAAATGAAACTGTTGTGCAGTGAACACTTGAAAATGGAAGTCAAGTAGAAATGACAGCATGCGGCTAAGACTGTAAAACTTGTGTTTTGCCAAGCGCTACTACGATGAGTGATAATAATGACGTTATCGGTTTAAGTCATCACTATGCCAACGACATCAACACAATATCATCTCCTCTTCATTGACAATTACGAATAAAGAAAACATGTCCAAACGTATACAAATCCATCAAGATGAGAATTGCTTCGTGTTGTTTGATTCTAATACGATTTGATATTAAATCAATTTCTTATTCCATTTTTACATACTCGCGTCATTGTTTTCCTGCTCTTCTCGCTTTCGCTCACAAATTTATTTTAATTAAAGGTATAATGTATGTCTCCGTCGCTTTTATAATTTTGTCCGACTGTGTATGACCATCGCTTTTATAACAATTTATGGAACGAATTTTTCCGGTTTTCAAGGTATTACTTACGTTTGCTTTTATTAGAAACTTTATCCAGGCAAATGCTTTCATTAAACTCAGACCCATCCATTTAAACGATTAAATTCGGATGAAAATTATTAAATAAAGTCAAGAAGTTCCTGCATATCCTTGTTTTTGAGTTGCCGCCCCTTAAGGTGAGCTGTCGGAATAGTTTAGAAAATTTGTATGAAATACTTTTGCATCTGCACTGAAATAGGCATGATTTTATTCATGAAAAGAAAGCCAACAACAAAAATGCAAAATTGAATAAAAAAAGAAAAGAATAAATAAACCGAAAGGCAACTTCATCATGTAAACCTATTGTCGAGTAAAATTCAGTCAACTTCCGTTTCCTTACAACTTGCGTATTGATGCTAACGGTCGTCGTTGCTGCTGTCGCTATATGAACTTTTGCTTTTTTACTTTTTTTTTTTTTGCTGTTGGTTGTAATGTCGTATTGCATTGTCGCCAGTTTCATTTGCCGTATACACGCATTAACATTCACTGAAACAGAACCAGTTATTTATTTGCATTTTATCTGCTCTCCTCATTTTTTTTTTTTTGTTTTTTTTAATGAAATTCTCTTTCTGCCTCTCTCACTCTCATCTGTTTACTGTCTGCTTATTTAACTTCTGTTCGGTTTTATTACAATTTTTTCTCGTTTCTTTTGTTTTTTTTTTGCTTCTCATTAAATTATTTAAAATTAAAATGACTTTCCGGGAAAAAGAAACAATTTTAACTTTGTAAACTATCATGACGTTCGTATGTCAACACGCATACATTTAAATAATAAGTAAATCATGTACATGTCTACTGCACTTATATGCATGTATTGCCGACCGAAGTACTTGAAAACATAATTATACATGTATGCTTACATAAGCACCGCGTACATTGAAATGAAAACAGCGGATGTCAAACAACAATTCGATAAATTAATGACATTTATTTTATAATTGATTATGTTTATGCATCACGTAAAATTCCTAGGGCTCTCGCTGGCGCCTATGACAATAATTCAATTTATAAGGTCACATTTCTATTCTAGTTCGACAGTTATCGTCATTTCGTTTACTTTCTTCATAAAATCGTTTTAAAGATTTACACGCAGCCTTAACCGAGCAAATATTGCCTGAAGCTATCACTTATCATTAAACCGCAAGTAAAAATTAATTAAGTGTTAAGTATTGATTGCATGAAAAGATTAAAGCAACATAAGTGCGACTAACATTTCAGAGTATCCGCCTGAATGGCCGAGTAGGCAAGAGTCTCGACTACCAACTCAATGGTCGTGGGTTCAAATCTCAAGTGCGGTAGAGTTTTTAATAAAGCCGAAAGCCTTAGATGCTAGTGCTTTAAGACTTTAGTCTTAGAATTTATTCTCTGGCTAAGTTCATAATAATAATAACATTTCAGAGAATAACACAAGAGACAATTTTCTGTCGTTACATTCGATTAAAGTACAAAGGCGAACGTACGATGTTTGATTGTGCTTATGCTACGATCTGGCAACACCAAATACACAGCCTTCTCATGCAATAAGTACATTTACACATGTTTTTTTTTTGTCTTCCTTATTTTCTATCGAATCCTGAGGTAAACTTTTTTTCCTTTTCGTCATAAACTATGTGAAGTAAAAGAACACCGGAAGTTCACTTTACATGTTCAATTTTGCAAATCAATCAAAATATATTCGGTTGCCTGCTTCTAGCCGAGTACGTAGGTACGGATGTACTAAATCCATGTTCGCGAGTTCAATTTTCAATGCGGTAGCGTTTACTTTTGTCGTAATTATAGTGATTGCTTACCAATTGCTCGCACGGCAACTATTCCTTTCTATTTCAGCCCTTAACGTATTACACGAACAGAAGACATTGCTTGAGTGATAGGTTATGGAATAAAAAAAAATGTAGCTACAGTGGACGGCTTTAACACGAGATTGACGAAATAAACAGCCTCCATGAACAGCTGATCTCTTACAGCGGTGATAGAAAGGGAAAATGATCACAATAGTTATCGATAGACCGGCAGTGATTGCAACACAGTACTAATAATTTCAAAACTTTTCATTCCAACAACTTTACCTTTTTTGTCAAACTTTTCAAGAGCGTACGTAACAAAAAAAAAAAAATAAACAAACTAACTTTGTTAATTTTTATTTTCTTTACAGGCAATCTCAACAGTTTTGTTGTTTAACATGAAACGTAAGTTAATTTTTATTGAATTAATTTTTTTTGTATTTTCAATTTTCTCTTTTTTTCAATTAAAAAAAAAAAAACTTGAAATGCAAACACAATCTTAACAATGTTTCTAAATGGAAAGTAACTTTGAAAATTTTGAAAAATTTCCAAAAATTTGCAAACGACTTTAAGCAAATTAATCAAACATGATTTGATGTTTATGCAAATTAGTGCTCGTCGTTTCTATCGCATATATACTGACGATTAAGTTTCTTGCGAAAAACAAATACAAAACAAAAAAGATTGCTTTTCGTAACGTGAACTAGTAGAAGTTGTGAAAATATATGAAAACATATATGGAAAATCAATATGAAAAGTATCCCTAGCACGCACTTACGACAGCAATCAATCTATGAGAGAATATAAGGCAGAAAAAGTTTTTACCTTCGTTCAATTCAAAACTCTTGTAAGCGTGTATGCACTTAAAAACAATCTTAAGCTTTTCAGAAATTCATTTATGCTCTATGTATGAGTTGACATTCAGGTAAGATAGGTAAACCATTGTTAGATATTTACGATACTTTAAAGCCCCTCTTGTCAATAGTACGTTGCAGTGCCAGAGATTCGTATACAAATATGCTAAACTGGATTGCCTTGAAATGTTCGTTATTAGAGAACAAAGTTTTCCAATTTATTGAGCACATAAGTGCACACACGCAAATTGCACACACTCATTTAACAAAGCATCTATTAAAAGCAATTTTTGTCTAAGACTTTCAAGTTTTATTGATGTCAAACTAACTCGTACACTCATCATAATAATAGATTTTATGTACCTGAATAAAATTAATTCATATAGAGATGAAATTATCGGCACATTACCAATAACATTACCATTAATGGAATTTTTTCAAACTTTACGACAGGCATACGTAACAAGATAAAAGTAGTTTATGAGTAAAAGTCAAGTGGGTTATAAGACTTTTTCAATTAACCATTTTTGCGTTCTTTTGGCCCCCAATTTCGACTAAAAGTGTCCTGTTAGTAAAATTGAACACGAAAAACGCAATTTTTATGCTTGAGCACGTTATCATGTTAATAAATGCGTTAGTAGGAGTAAGTTTGCTCGTCATGCAAAAGTATTTTTAAGTCTACACTTTGTCAGCTTTGCGCACTACGCGCAGATATCCCTACAAAAAGTAAATCAAATTCTTAACTTATACGATTCGTAAGAGCATAAAGAATATACGAATAGATCGTTCAAGAAAGGACTTAAGCAAACATTTAGCAACTTAATAAACAAGTACTTTACTCGCGCATACAGGACCAGTACGGCTTTGACAGATGTCTGTCTGTTATTACTAGAGAACGGTTTTTTGTTTTTTTTCTTTGACAAGTCTGTGTAAGCGTTATGAAGTCGATTTTTAAGGATCATTATATATTAAAACAAGAAGTCAGATGTCGCCGAGAAAAATTCCCAAGTTTCTGAACTAAATCCGATCATTTTCGCACAAAAAGTAGAAAAAGTAGAAACTGGTGTAAAACGTAAAAGAGATAGTTAAACGTGCGGACACTACTTGAAATAGTGTAAGGCATTGAATTGACCACACCGAACTTTCGAAGGTCTTGGGGTCCGTTGCTTACTCGATGCCTTAATTTGTCTAACGGCCTAGTGTGAAGAGTTCGCCACAAAGGCCTTTCCCAAAATTTCCAGCCTACGTCAACACAAGCCTCAGATCCGAGCAAAACGTGTTCTTGAGCAAATTGAACATAGTTTCTTTGTTTTTTTTTGTATTTCTTTTAGCTGAAAAGTTTCACCAAGACCAAAACGCCTATTGGAAAAATGCTGGAATGTTATTATCCCATTCTGCGGGAATTCTCCGTTTCAGTCAGGCGAAATTTCCAGTGAGCCACGAAGATCATGTCAAGTAGCAGCACCACATGTACATCAATACCACACCTTAGAAAGTTGTCAAACTCGGGTTTAATAGTAAATAAGTTTGTCTACGACAAACTAAAATATGATAGTGTAGCACTGTATCCTTCGAAAGTTTTTGAACATCTACTTAAGTATTAGAAATTTAGTTCTTATCCATAAAACAATATACAGCCATAGTCCGGAATATGAGTATTTATATAAAAATGACTTCGTACCTTGCGTTTTCAAGGCTATTTTTATTAACACTATAACGATGTGAGTCTCTCTGCTTTCGAGTATAAACACAACTCTCAAAATTCGTAGATTTGTAATTGCAGCAAATTGCGACGTTTTATAGCAATTGTATCAATGCATTGAATGTCTCCTGACATTTTGCATGAATCGCATCAGGTTACGTTGTACTTTAGTTTTGTTAAGCATAATTACATCAAACATGATAACCGATTAATGAGTAAACCAGATTAATAATTTCATAGACTGTTGAACAATCATCTCAATATAAGAAACATTTGCTCCTATTGGCACAATAATAACTTTTTTTATAACTGATGTTTAATCTTAATTCTAACTTTAATTTAAAATTTAAATGTTTTTGTTTAGTTTCAATTAAATAAATATACAGCTCTTATAAGGCTGTAATGACACAAAATCGCTTAGCCGACAGTTTCTATGACCGCATTAGTCCGAATTTAAGGCCACTTAGTTCCCACGACCTTAACCCTCACGATTCAATGACCGTGATAATAATACACAATTCTAAAGGATGCAGAAGAGCAAGAGAAAAATAAAAATTCCCCTAAACAGTATTTCATCGTTGATCCGGATGAACAAAAAGCATTTGATTCGGACATGTAGTCGTTTCCTAACCCGCGCTACAGCCTCTGTTAAGTAATATGTTATTTATTACATGATTTAGCAGTGACGCCACTAATTTCGTGTACCATTCATCACAACGTCACTATGAACTTACTATCTTCTTTAGGATTAGGTATAGGAATGCATACACATGCCGAAAAAATACAATATTCCCAATTAGTCCTAAGTACTGGTCAAGAGAAGATCGCTGAAGCGCACTTCGTAGCCGCTAAGAAAAGTGAGCAAAGGATAAATTTAAAAAGCATTTACCTTAAGTTAGGAGTTCAAGTTGCTTATCAACTAAATGGATCTTCAACTATCACATTACCTTATCTAGGTCTTATCGTTTTTTATTATTGCTATGCTTGGATTGGTTTGTCTATGAGCTATGTACGGTATATTGGGACATAATGAAATAAAAAACATTTATGATGCTTCTTCAAGATTAATTTTGATTTTTTCTTTTGCATTAAAATATAAAACGCGATTAATAGCCGATTAAGCCATAAAATGCTTTTGACTTGTGTTGTCCATTCGGTTAATAGTCGTACAACGGTAGACACATAAATAGCGCGCATTTCACTATAGGAGCGTGAAGGACGTCTTAAGAGAGTTATAACAATTTTTTTAATACTACAACTGCAACAAAAAAATATACAGGAATGTTGAAGGAGTTGAAATAAAACGAGACATCCTTCGATGTAAAAAAGGTGGCATCATTTTTTGCCTGAGAAAAATCTATAGGTAGAGAGTAAAAAAAGTTTTTAAACATCATCTTCTACTTTGTTAATACTCTACTTCGTGCTGTGTCTCAAAGTGTGCCTAACCGCTTGATATTTACAGCACAAGCTTTCGATGAGCTCCGGACATGTCCCCTTCCACATGGGACACAGTGGCTTTCAAATGTACGCACATTTCTTTAAGAAGCTACGTTGCTTTGTATTCTGAGCAACAGTTTAATAATACGTTTATTTCACTCACACACAACATCTCTTCCACTAGAGTCGCAGATGTTTGAAGAAATCCGTCACTCTTTCTTACTTCGAAATGTGTATAATAAACAAGAAGCGACTCAATTACCCTGTCAACATAAAAGGATACGCTTTATAGGCTGAATATAATATTTTTCTTCTTCTTCTACACTCTTTCCTTTCTTTTCTTTATATGTTTGATATTTTTGATTGAACATCGTAGTAGCGGTAATTGAAATATTATCTTATGCTTTGCCAAATGCTTTCGACAATTTCGAGAATTTCGTATCTTTTATGTTATGAGCATTAGTCAGCGCTTAAATAACGTAAGTGAATGATGAAAAACTACGACATCCTAAGAGATTCATCTAAACACTGAAGCTTAATATAATTTTGTTTCGCAGCTGGTCCGACTCAGAAAATCTTCTTAAAAATTTTGCAAAAATATCTACACAAGCATAATCTTGTTTTTACTTTGTTTATGTCCTGACTGATTTGTTTAGCTTTTTTAATTTATATTTTTTTTGCGGGTTTTCTTATTATTATGTAAATGTTTTTTTTTTCCTTTCTTTTCTTTTCTTTTTTTCGCAGAGAATTTTCCAGTATGTTCTTTACATTTTATTATTATGTTTGTTTTGTTAAGTGCTCACTAACTAACTCGTTCGTTGTTGATTTTATTTGTCTTGTAAAATTTTTACAACCACCAGCCAGATTATGGAAAGCAAGTGTACAATATGAGCCATTTTTTGTTTTGACATTCAGTGAAATGAGCGAAATGAATATTAATAAGTATGCATTCTGGCCAATGTTTTTGGTATGTCCATGTTTCCGAAAGCTTAATCTATTCAAATCCATTCTCAAATCTTCATATCTTGTGATATTTTTGTTTATTTATAACTTTTAAATATTATTTTAAAATAAAAGTTATAAGCTAAACCAAATAAAAATGATATAGTGGATCGCGGAGCACAATTATGTACCCTACCTCAACCTAAATTTATCCATATAATCGACTTTCCAAAATAAAGTTTTATATGAGAAGGGGTGAACCATTTTCAATAGCGCCTTCTTAAGCCATAATACGTTAGTGTCCACATTTCATCAAAATATTACAAAAATTACGACCAACAGGTCGTATGATACATCTTTTGCTCTTACGTCTATTTCATACGCAGCCCATCCATTTGCCCTACGATACACCCGCCTCTTAAGTAGTTTATTTCAGGCTTTTCGTACCTGAACACATTATCCATGCGGCC